TGACGATAACTGGTGATTTTGGTCCCCATCTTATGACCTACCAATGCGAGAATTGCTTGACTTCCACAATTTCAGACTGAATAGCCGCGCCATTTTTGAAATAAAATCTTTAGAAGTCAAACTATATGATTGGTTTACGGAAGTAGTAAATAAAATACTACGACCACAAACGCGTCAGCATTAGCAGCAATAAAATAAAACTAGTTTTAACGGGTTAATGCACGAACCTTTATTTATTTATTGACATTTCGCAGCCTTTTCGGGTCTGCTTCGTCAGAATAATCTGTCAGAATAAAAATTACTCTGACGAAGGAAAAATTCTGAAAAGGCTGCGAAACGTCAATAAATAAAAAAACGATTGTCTTTGAACAGACACAAAACAAAATCAAGTCCGAAGAAGTCGGTTACAAGTAGAGATACCTCAGGAATCGTCCCATGGTTTCGACTATCATAGGTTCCATGTCACGCATTTTATCATCTAACATCAGCGATATTCATCTTATATTTTATTATGTATTTCTGGAAACACACAATTTCAAAAATATCACACACTAGTCATCATATTGTAAATATGTATTATAATTCCATCTGTACTGAAAATCGCTATTCCAGAGTGCTGGACACTTACCGGCATTTCTCTATATTCTGTTATTTATTTGTTTTCATTAATTTTGCTCCGATTTTATCTATTTTTAGTTTATTTATTTTATTGACATTTGTGACAACTTAATGTTTTTTATCCGTTGCCATGGCTAAAAGTGAAAGGAGCGCAGATAAGGTTGCGCACAAAAACGTAACGAGGTCAGTAATGTCATTCATCGATGGATTTTACTCCTCACATTTTTCTCATACCGGGCCCCTTATATATGCAAATCGATTCTTAAGGAGTAAACTCCAATAAAGTTTCGTGCATTTACCCGTTAAAACTAGTTTTATTTAATGAGTGATGTGCGTGAAAACCTATGATACAAATAAGCAATAAAATATTTAAAACTCTGTAGCCATTTGGTGTAATCTTGACATTAAGCGTCCCTTAAAGTCCCCTGAGTACGGCACTGATAATGGGGAACGCTAGGCTCGCCCATTACGGCAATAGAATTAGTGTATTCGTATCCTCCGTTTATATCTGCGACATTTGCCTGGAGTTACAACCAGTGCCGTATTGCAGAAAACGAGAGATTATGGGATATAACATAATTACTTATTCGACACAATAAGAACCCAGGTCAGATTAACAGTAATATTTTGAACGTTGATTTGATTCATACCTTAAACGTTCTCTATTAACTCGCTCGGCCTGCGATCGAGGGAGTTAAGCAACTTTCGCAATGGCAGGTCATAGGATGGGTAATCAAAATTCATTATCTTGAGCTCCTCCGTAGTTCGGGAGGCAAGTTACGCCGTTGATCTCAGCTGCATCTGCAGTAGTTACAATTCACCAATCCGATTGGCCTCGCGCGGTTTATGGCCTAATCTTCCCTTTTCCGTCCTTTAGAACGGCCTGTGTTCAAGCAGTGGAGGTACTCATAGGCTGATAATGATACATCATCATCAGCGTATTAATGACCCACTGCTGGGACACAGGCCTTCCCTATGGATGGAATAGGGAGATTGGGCCATGACCCACCACGCGGACCCAATGCGGATTGGTGGGTTCTAACGACTGCAGATGCAACCAGGACCAACGGCTTAACGTGCCTTCCTAAACACGGAGGAGCTCGAGATAGTAAATTTTTGGTCACCCATCCAATAACCGACCACTGAGAAAGTTGCTTAACTTCAAAGATCGCAACCGAACACGCTAACCAGTTGCGCCATCGAGCTCCTCCATAATATGCAATAATGATACGCGACCTATAATATATGTTGTTCCTACCTTGTTATTAACTCAAATAAATATAATTAAGAAAATATTGATCTTCTCTTCTCTGTATTATAAAAAGAGATATAAACCATACTTATCGGAAAAATAAGACTATGGACACCAAAAGTTGATTACTTTGGCCAATCATATTCTGTATTTCTCCACTCATCGCTTAATTTATTACTAGCCACACAGTTAAGCATATATTAAGCCAAGTTCGATGAAGTTATTGGGTTAGATACAGATATCGCGTTAAAAAAACCAAGTCAATAATTGACAATCACGAGTAAACCAGCAAGTATCTAACTGCTATTCTATACCACAAAACAATAAACATGTTCAAAAACCAGAATCCTAAGGCTCCACAGGTCTCCAAGCAATTAGATCGTTCTCGGAATTAACAGGAGAAACTTACGCTATCGCTATCATACCGTATCTCTCGCAGATTTTGAACTTGCCCCTCGACAATGTTGACCTGATTCGCAACACACTGCCTTAACACTATTACATTTGCATGATAATGGTGTTTGCGTCGAGACATTTTAGCATAGCATGCTGGTTGTGGGATATTAAGGTCTATACACATTGTACTTGACCCACAGCGGCGGGCTCGACCCTGCGTACTATCATGGTATTCAGCATTTAACAAAAAAATAACTATGTCGAGTTTGCCTTCTAGGTGCTAAAGATTAGACAGCTCCGGGATCTATAATTTTGGCAACAAAATTCTTGAGCACATTTTTATTTCTCAAACAACACATTGGCGTTGTTTTTCACACCTGTTCCTAATTGAGTACTTGGGAATGGCGCTAATTGAGTGCAACGCTGCGGTACGTTCTACCGTGCAGTGTACAAAGAAAAAAAATCTCTCTCTCTTTCTTTCACTCTCTCCCCTCCATACCACTCTCTCTCAAAGACATGAGTAAGAAGACACAGAGACAAAACTTCACACAATTGCGCGTGTATGAGTAAACACTGGCTGCTTTCACGTACCTACGCACATAAACGTTTCTGTTGGCTGTGATCATGGACCAAAACAAAGTATTTGCTCCATGGCGGTGACAGACCACCTGTGCTCACTCAGATGCCTTCTCTATAAATGTGATGACGCTGGGCTGTGCCGCTACCGTGCAGTGTAAAAAGTCCCTTAACGTTACGTTCACTGAACGAAGGGTAACGCGGAGAGGCATAATTGCGAGTCGGAAGCTTTTAAAATTAGAAGAGTATTTCCATTTAGAAAGAATGTACTTTTAATGGAATATCATGATTTTTATGTTGAAACCACGTTGAAACTTAATATACAAAGAGAACGCCAACGTAACGTTAAAACAAGGTATTATTATACTTCGCCTCGCTTTACGCCCGTCCTCGCTTTACTTCGCAGTAGACTAAGCATACTCCAGTTTTTGTCAGACTTGTGCTTTAGGTATAAATAATAGCCTTTCCACCAAATATCTGAACAACTTAAGTCTAGTAAGTGGTAGTACAGCTAGAACTGGTTTAATGCGGTTGCGACGTAATGGACTGTTACCACAAATCCTCTTAATTGTACCACATAGAGAGATTAAAAAGAGGAGTGGGATTGGCGGGAAATTGTGCAGAAACGAGTTAATCAAAAAAAATGCCCCTAATCTTTGGGTGCTCTCTGCACTTAGTATGATATTGATACTAAATAAATGTTATTTAATAATATTAAATTGATGCACGGGGATCTGATGAATGCGTCATTGGCACTGATTTTATTTTAATAATAAAGTATAGAAAACATAATGATTTATGGCTATGTTTGCGTATAAAGTACGTAAGTTTCACTAGTCGATGACTCGTATAGCTTGTAAATTTGAACGAGACACAATATTTTTTCACTTCCACTAAGTTTCTGTTTGTCATTCGAAATCGAATATCTATTTTTCTATATGCTGTTCACTGGATATGCGTTAAAAACTTATTTCATTTCGGTGCAGCAACTTCTTTATTAGGCTGTTATTTACACCTAGCATTTTCCTCGCTGTGGTGGTGTGAAAAGTTGTATTTTGCTCAGTAGCTAAGTTATTCTGCATCGCGGCTGTTAGCGTTGCAGCTAGCTACGCCATTACTTTATACCCTGGAATCCTTCGTTTGCTCAGGTTAAGTATTCGCGCCAAAAAGCAACTTTGCAAGCTTGCATAACAAACTTTATCATCTGGATTTTTCTGTGATATTTTCATATTTAACATTTTTTTTATATTATTACTATTAACGGGATTAATACCTTGGGCCGAAATATCGGAGACTCATAAAAACAAGGTGCATGGTAACAATTCCCTTAATAGCTATGTATGTAATTGTTAGTGACCATGAAAGTTCAGAACAATTTATTTTATAGACTAAATTTTGAATGTCCTCCCCCAAACGCAAGACAACAGCCAATAAAGAATATTTCTTGTATTTTAGTGTTCCTGCACTGGTAAGATTACTTCGACCTCAGAGCAAAGGTTCAGGCAGATAAAGTAAATGAAGCTATTGCGGGGATGAGAGTCATTTGTCAGGCTTTCTAAACAGGTGGTAAAAAATGAAGGTGGAAATTGTAATAGATCTATTGTCGAAATATATAGGTATCGTCTTGGAAATTCATCTTATAGGCAATTCAATTAACAGCCCCAGTAGCATGACTGCATGAGCACTACAATTTACATTATATCACGTTTTTTTTATCGCGTCTAACTGTCAAACTTCATAGTCTTCGTCCATAGTAATTTGGCAATTGAGCGTGATAAAAACACATTATATATCATATCGCGGTGTTCATGCTAGGGGGGCAGGGTTGACAATCGAGAGTTAGCGTAGCGACATTAGCGAGAAGTAAAGAAGTGACTCGAAAAACATATTTTTTTTTTCTTTGTTAATTACGGAAGTATTACGGTAAGTACGGCGTGCGCTGCCTTGAGCGGGAGCACGGAGCGGGTCTGCCGTCGCAGCGCTGCTCTATGAAATGACATGAAACTGCAAGCGGAGCGGATGTCCACTCCGTGCTCCCGCTTAAGGCAGCGCAGGCTCTAAGAAACCAGTTTCAAGGTTTTGCTGTGGTTAAACGTCATACTTTTTACAAATTAAATTACTTATTCATTTTAATTTTCGAAAACAAACTTTTTTACAGGAACGCCCGAGAGAAATCACGGTCGAGGTCAGTGACCCCGAGCGCGTCGCCCCCGCCGGCGCCTCCTCCCCCGCCTCCGCCTTCACACACGTTGCATCCTGACAACGCCTTAGGTAAAGTGCGTTTTTTTAAAATAATCTACTAGGTCAGAGTCTCAGAGACCCTCTAGTTGAGCAGGCCCGAGAGGGCTTGAACCTGAGAAGGTTCAAGTGTCTAGAGGCTCTAGACGGAAAGGAGACTCCCCCCTTGGAGAGTTGCCATCCTCCTGGAGTACTTCTAGAGACACTCGCGAAGTCTCGGCTTGAGGTCCCTTTAGGATCTCGCCGTCCCCATTATATGTATGTGTATAATGTCAAAAAGTTACATACATCTAGTTCAATTCATCGGCCATTCTGAGTTGACCAAATTTTTGAGCGTCCATGTAAATAACTAAGTCCGTAATATGTTTGGGTTGATCCAATTAGTTAATTAAAGCGCCAAATGCACAAATTTTATAAAGTTTATATTTATTTATTTCAAGTTTTATTGTCAGCGCAAGGAATTTAATGATAGTTAAAAATCCTGACGGAAATTATACGAAGAACACCTTGTCGTGAAAACGACCGACATTTACTTTGCATATTTATCACTTATTATAAAGTTAAGATAAATTGAGGAGCTCGATGGCGCAAGTGGTTAGTGCGTTCGGCTGCGATCGTTGAACTTAAGCAACTTTCGCAGTGGTCTTTCATTGGATGGGTGACCAAAAATTACTATCTTGAGCTCCTCCGTGCTTCGGAAGCACATTAAGCCGTTGGCCCCGGCTGCATCTGCAATCGCTAGCACCCACCAATCTGCACTGGGCCCGCGAGGTGGGTCAAGGCCCAATCTCCCTATTCCATCCATAGGGAAGGCCTGTGCCCCAGCATTGGGGACATTAATAGGCTGATGATGAAGATAAATTTGTAAACCAATAAGGAGTGTAAAAAGAGTTTAAAAATCTTAGATGTCGCCGTTCTACTCCTAATGCTCAATTTATACTTACACACAACATTTAATAATGTTATGTGTAAGTGCTGTACTGTTCTTTCCTACATACATAGTATCACTCCCAAAGTAGTTAAAATAAACCCCCACCGTCCCACAGGTCGCGGCGCTCTCAGCGCAGCCGGTCGCCAGCTCAGCGACCACAGCAACAACCGAGAGTCTTCACTAGACGACTCCGGCGTAGTCGACGACCACGACGACGGAGAACACACATCGGACGACCAGGCGCCGCACTCTCACCCCCGGCGGGTGCATCTCATGCCCGCACCAGTACACCACCCGCCGACACCGATGCCACCAATACAACAGGTAGATATTGCTAAATCTAAAGGAAATTTCACTAAAAAAACCACTCGGTCCAAGCATCAAACAGGATTCGAACTTGCGCTTTCTGCAGCATCTACTATCTGGGCGGAGGTACCTTCGTAGGTGCAGAGCCAAATACTGCTATCCGGCGGATAGAGAGGATTCGAATAACGTCCAGTGTCGACGTCATCTGTCGACCAGGCGATGCACTCACCATGAGATGCACCCGGCGGGTGCATCTCATGCCCGCCCCAATACAGCATCCGCCGATACCTATGCCTTTAATACAACGGTATCACCATCATCAGCCTATGAACGTCCCCACTACTGGGGCACAGGCCTTCCTTATGGATGTATATAGGAAGATTGATCCATAGCCCACCACGCGGGTCCAGTGTGATTGGTGAGTGCGAACGATTGCAGATGCAGCCGGGACCAATAGTTTATTCTCTAAATATTTTTAATTAGTTATTTTTAATAAGTAAATCTAACAGTATATAAAATATTGTTTCTAGACAAAATTTCAATCGCTCCAGGTTTCAGACAGTATTCGAACCTGCGCCATCCGTTCACCCTCCTGCCCGGATTGGAATTTCTTCTAGTAAAAACAATCTACATTGTACCTTCGTATTCAATAAACTACGTGCATAAAGACCTTGTATAACAACAGTAAAAACTTTAACTGTCCCCAAACAAATGATATCCAATCCAACAGGTATATTCTCCTTTCATATTCAGTTACGCTGCATGCATAAAGACCTTGTTTACAATAGCAGAAACTTCAATTATCCTTACATTAATGATGTTAGCCCAACCTGAAACTGAAATAGTCGCACTACAAAAAAGTTAGGCGTTCAACATGAGTTGCAGCAGAAAATGACATAAAAAATTAAGCACGATTTAAAACAGGGATCTATTTTTTTGTGGTACAAACTGAACAGTTTAATTTAGATAATGACAGAGCTCTAATTTTATATCTTGTTAAAGAAACTGTAACATGTTATGACAAATCAAAATCATGAATCGCAGGAAAAACACACAAAGGAGCCCAAAAAAAAACATTCAAAAAAAACAGAAAAGCAGACTGAGAAATCGAAGCACGCAGAGAAAAGCAGCATACATGAAAGATATCCACTGAACCCAGACTATCTCAATCAGATCGTGGTGCTAGGTAAAGTTCTATTTTATTTAAATAAAATTGCACTGCTTCAAATCCAAGTAAAAAAAAGAATGTACCATCAAATAGAAGGTGACTACCTTGAAATGGCTAACATAAATAATTTAATGATGGGAAGTAAACTCTTCGATTTGGTGGTATTATCTTAAAACATTCCTTCAATTGGCACGGCTTAGACACTTAAGCACGAAATATTAAACACCGAAAGAAAGACGCTGACACTCCCAAAGAATGATCGCTTTTGCCAACACAGAAAAATTTGAGCAGAACTATAACAACATAACACAGCAAATAATCTACGAAAAACACATTCAAAATCTTCAACTTTGAAATTATCGTAGACTAGTATTTGAATTATTCATCCAATATTGGCTATTACATTATTATGCATGAAATCTTCTACAAAATTGTTTTAAAAACCAAATTGACTTTTAGGTTTTATATCTATTGTTTTATATCTATTGTAAAGTTTCCGCGCTTGCATACTCTGCAATTTTCTTTCTTACTAAATTTAGTTTATGCCAATTACCTCAGCAAAATACAAAACTGACCATGAATTATATTATTGTAGTTTCTTCAATTGTTTTTTTTTTCTGAAATTCTAACTTATTCACTCTGTTTCAACTTGCATTTGCAAACAGATATTTACTTTGGATTTCTGAAGCATTATGTAAGGTTTCACTAATATCTTACCCAATCCTCAATTTAGTTGTGAGCCGTTTGAGCTGACGATTGTGAAACTTTATGACCACAATAAAGCTAAATGGTTTCACGTAACTTTGGTAGCTTAGTGAATTGTTTAAGAAAATTATTAAATGAAGACGTTTGATTCAATAAGCTACTAACTTGTAGATAACGCAATCAATTTATGCAAATAAACAAAATTGTTACGCTATTGTCATAGAAGTCACCATTTGACTCGTATTTTATATATACAAAATTAAAATTATTATAGTTTAATGGTAACTTCGTTTGGCTGGTAAAATTCACTAGTAGCTTCACTCTCAATGATTCTCATTGGGCATTTTAAACAACACTGTTGCAATCTCGCTTCTACCCTCATTAATATCGTCAGGGGCGGACTGGCCATACAAGCGCGCGCCCGCCCTCCCGCAAGCGGAGACGACGAAAATTAATGAGCTCAGTTTATTGGCAGCCACGCACAAAACTCATATGGGCAATTACGAGCAAAATTGCACTTTCTTCACAGGTTAGTAAATACAGACGCCAACGCTTCTCCCCCCAGTCCACCCCTGTTCCCCACAGGAAGACTGCAGGGTGACTTTGCGATTGGTTTTCGCTGTCGTCTCGTCGCATTAAGAATCGTATTAAAGTTCTGTAGATAACAATACAATTTATTAAATTATACTTACCTCCTCCACGCGCAACTTTTATACGATTCTATCTATTTTCAATGTGGTACACCAAATTGAAAATAATCTGGAATATTATTTAATGCACCAACACAATCATTTCAAAATTCAACCATTGGCATTTCCAAAATTTGAAACCGTGCATTTTCCTGCGTACTGTCTTAGTCCTTATCTTCCGCTTATTGCATGTACAAAGTTTGAACTTATTACTGTTAAATGCTCTGCAAAAGTAAGCTTAGTATCTTATAACTCGATAGGCTTTACTATGCTTCCGCTCCTCTAAATGATCTGTATCTGAAAAATTTCTTTCTTCTGTTTTCGATGTAATAATTTGTGTTCAGTTATTGTTAATATAATATTCAATTTGATTTCAGATGAACTCGTGGATAGAAACTGTGAATGCTGCGTTTCTTGCTGTATAGACTATGAAGGCTGGCTTCATTTCCAAAATAGTCTATACGGTATTGTAAAAGATCCGCTCTTCGAGTTGTTTATAACAACATGTATTGTTCTCAATACGCTCTTTCTTGCGTTAGAGCATCATGGTATGAGTGAAAATGTTAGACAAGCATTAGATATAGGAAATAAGGTAAATTGTTTTCGTTTATTTCGTTTCAATAATCACACTAATAGTATCTTTATTACCCATGCCTAAATATTTTCAGGTGTTCACATCTATATTTACTTTAGAATGTATTATGAAAGTGATGGCGATGAGTAAAGACTTTTTTGCTTGTGGTTGGAATATATTCGATTTAATTATAGTATCAGCCAGTCTATTAGATCTTATATTTGAGCTTGTGGATGGCCTATCTGTGTTACGAGGCCTTCGTTTGGTGAGTTTAAAAATACTATGGCATTTATATGAAATCAAAATTATGTAATTAAATTGGCAAAAATTAATTTCGTTCAGCTTCAGTAATATCTAAGTATGTAAGTTTACGGAATGATAATATTAATTTGACTTGTAACCTATTAGTATTTAAATGTTATATTTTCTATTTCAGTTACGTGTGTTAAAATTAGCTCAGTCATGGACTACAATGAAAGTGTTATTGAGTATTATAATATCGACAATCGGTGCTCTCGGTAATTTGACGTTCGTGTTAGTGATAGTTATATACATATTCGCTGTTATCGGAATGCAGCTTTTCTCTAAATCTTATACCCCGGACAAATTCCAACCGGATCCAGTACCCAGGTATGACTATCTGACTCATGAGTATCTTGTTATAGCAAAAAATAATAGGTACTCATATTTCTATTCTCATAATTTTCATGAAATAAGATTGAAATTTTAAGATTTTTATGGTTTACTAGCGACCGCCCTCTTTCGTCCGCACTAACTTTAGTTATTTTTAAAAATCCCTCAGGAGACTACCAATTTTACGGGATAAAAAGTATCCTGTGTCTCAATCCCGGTCATTAACTATATGCGTTTTCAAATTTCATCCAAATCCGTTCAGCAGTGTTTTGCGTGATTGTGTGACAAACATACTAACTTTTACATTTAGAATATTAGTAGGATTAATAAAGGCGAATTTCAATAATTTTATCAAGCAAACTTAAATAGAACTAGTATGTATGTGTTCAGATTTTAAACAATAAAAATATTTTTTATCCATACATCACAGGTGGAATTTTAACGACTTCTTTCACTCGTTCATGATGATATTCCGAATACTTTGTGGCGAGTGGATCGAGCCTCTTTGGGACTGTATGAGAGCAGAGCAAGCAACTGGTGCGGAGAGTTGCTTCTTTATTTTCTTGCCCGCTCTAGTAATGGGAAATTTCATGGTGCTCAACCTCTTTCTTGCCTTACTGCTCAATAGTTTCAACAGTGAGGAACTTAAAAATAAAAAAGAGGTAACAATTTCTCCAGTTTTATCCTTGGTTACTGTGCACTTTCAATAATCCTCAGGTAATTTCAAAGGCTTCGTTTCTGTTTTCAGGAAGTAGGCGAGGATTCGAAATTAGCAAAAAGTTTCGATAGAATACGTTCTATAGTTAGAAAAAAAGGTTTCCTTATATCGAGAAGTAAAGAGACTGAAAAAAAATCTAAATTAGAAGAGCTAGTTAATGAATACATGGCACAACAACGTGCCGTTAAAGAAAAGAAGGTGTCTATACCAAGTGAGCAGAGGTACTCAAGTTCAATACAAGAAACCATACTTTTTCCACATGACAATATTTACAGTCACAGTTATCAAGAAGCATTAAATAGGTAAGTTTTTCAAAATCGGGCGTAAAACCTTTATAACGAAAGACAAAATTATAATCATCATCATCATCAGCCTATTAATGTCCCCACTGCTGGGGCACAGGCCTTCCCTATGGATGGAATAGGGAGATTGGGCCATGACCCACCACGCGATCCCAGTGCGGATTGGTGGGTGCTAACGACTGCAGATGCAGCCAGGACCAACGGCTTAACGTGCCTTCCAAAGCACGGAAGAGCTCGAGATAGTAATTTATGGTCACCCATCCAATGACCGACCACTGCGAAAGTTGCTTAAGTTCAGCGATCGCAGCCGAACGCGCGAACCACTTGCGCCAAATTATAATATATATATATATTTTTTAATTACAGGCCAGTAGAATCAGATTTATTTCCGCCACTTTACCAAAGTGGGAATAATTTTAACCACGGTAGCCAAGAAACTTTAAAAGATGTTCGTGATTTAGCTACTGAACATAAAATTACTAGTATTAGAGAAGATTCTAAAGAAAATTTAGAAGACCCGATGACACCCATAGAGCAAATTGCGGCGCAAAAGTTATTAAATCAAATGTCATCAGGATATCATACACAGCCGTCTGATTCGAGAGGTGAATAAAAGTATAGACATACCGTCAATTTTTATACGAGTGCACTGTATGTTTACTTTTACTTTCAGATGAGAATGAGCACTTTGAAATGGCTCATATATCAAGTAAAACTACACCAGAAAACCACAGGAGGCCGGGAAATGAAACTCCAACTTTTTTAAGTAAGGAAACTGGGAAAAACCCTGACGAAGAAGAAATGAAACATCCATGGCAAACTTTAGTCTCATATGTAGATGAATTAACCGTAGGTGGGAGAAAAAATTCAAAGGGTCAATACATGGATGCGATGGGAAATTTTCCGGGATTTGGGAAACAGAAGGAGCCAAAAGTACCGCAGGATTGTTTCCCTCGTCAATGTTATGAGACGTATGTTTTCAAATTTAATGCATCCAAAATTATTGTAAACACCACTTTTAGTGTTGACTTTACCTCTACTGGAATCAATTTAGCATGGCTCCATAAACCCTCCATCTGATATTGTTAAAATCGGCATGTGCCTTCTCATTGAATGCTTGACTAATAACCTGCCTAACAACTAACTACGTAGATAGTTTACTATTAACAAAGTGATTGCGAGATCGATGATAATGTTATTTCACTCATAGAACACTTACTTCCTCTGCCATTTTATATTTTTACCAAGTATTTCAAAGTAAGTAGGTTGTTTTGCGTAAGACCTATTTTTTCATGTTGAGGTATTGATCACTCTTACGTAGGTAGCATCAGAACTGTTCCATTGCGCTCAACACGCGGAAGGAGGCACATACCATGCGTTTGCTGCTATGCTTGTACTTTGTCCATTCCATTCCTCCAGATGTTCCTGTTGGGACTTGTTTATCCAAACAAAATTAGGCCAGCGTTGGATGTTTATCCGAACTTTTATTCTTCGGTACGTGGACACGCCCGCCTTCGAGTGGTTCGTTTTGGTGCTAATCTTCGCCTCTAGCATCACTTTGTGCTTCGAAGATATTCATCTTGAGAAGAATAAGCCATTGAAGAGGATCCTGTACTGGACCAATCTCGGCTTTTGCATGATCTTCGTCATCGAGATGTTTCTCAAATGGATAGCGTTGGGGTTCTTCAGATACTTCACAAGCTTCTGGACATTATTAGATTTTACAATAGTTTTTGTAAGTATAAAATTATATTATTAATATTCAGGTAACCTAAACTCCGCTCTAAATAAAAAATATTAAATAAATACAATTTTCTAAAATAAAAACTTTTAAACCAAGTAAAAATACTTTATTAGAAACACATAAACAGCAAAGCCAAAACATGCATAATATTTAAAAACATTTCTTACAGGTGTCAGTGTTTAGTTTGTTAATAGAAGAAAATGAGAATTTAAAAGTTTTAAGATCATTAAGAACTTTACGTGCATTGCGACCATTGCGGGCGATATCGCGATGGCAGGGCATGAGAATAGTTGTCAACGCGTTAATGTACGCTATACCAAGCATCTTCAACGTATTACTCGTATGTCTTGTGTTTTGGTTAATCTTCTCGATAATGGGTGTTCAATTCTTCGGTGGAAAATTCTTCAAGTGCGTCAATAATCAAGGTGAACTGCTATCTTTAGAGGTAAGATAAATTTATATTTAAAAAATAAAGTTGAAATATATTTTCATTATAATGTATTTTTAATAGTTATATAGGTAATTTCTGAGTCAAACAACACACTGGTCAGTATATTTTTTGCTTTAACCGACTATTATTTTCTCTTTAGTTAGTTTTCCTAAATATTAAACTTTATTTCCGCTTTCCAATATAATATTAAACGTTGCAGATAGTAAATGATAAATGGGAGTGCTACTACAATAATTTTACATGGATAAACTCAAAAATTTCGTTTGATCACGTTGGAATAGCTTACTTAGCACTATTCCAAGTTGCTACATTCGAGGGATGGATGGAGGTAATGGCCGATGCAGTGGATGCAAGAGGAGTGGATCTCCAACCAGCGAGAGAAGCAAACTTATACGCTTATATTTATTTTGTGATTTTTATTGTATGCGGTTCGTTCTTCACACTCAACTTGTTTATTGGAGTCATTATCGACAATTTTAATATGCTCAAAAAAAAGGTATGTAAAATTATTATTTATATCGAAATCAATTTTATTAACAACACTAACATTTTGTTGCCAAATCCATTAAAATACAAATCATATACAGCTGTACTCAGAAAACCCAAATTAATTTCATGAAGCGTGCAATGCCTGTTGTCTGATTCTATTATTATCGCAAAAAAGTAACAACATCAACTTGAGATAAATTTAACAATTAATTGACTTCTCTGGATTGGGGTCATTAGAATTTTTGTATATAGACGTTTGCACCATCGGGAGTATCACTCGCTCATTAACCATAGTTACAAATGTAAACCAAAATCCTGAAATGTAAAAATAAATCAATAATACTTCAACTTTCTATTTCATTTAAAAATTTTATATAATTTTACAATTATTACAGTATGAAGGAGGTGTGCTAGAAATGTTTCTGACTGAAAGTCAAAAGCATTATTATACAGCGATGAAGAAACTAGGTAGAAAGAAACCCCAAAAAGTGATAAAAAGGCCGAGGAACCAATTCCTCGCGATGTTTTACGATTTGTCGAACTCGCGACGCTTCGAGATAGCCATATTCGTACTTATCTTTTTGAACATGCTGACCATGGGAATAGAACATTATGATCAACCTCACTCAATTTTCTTCATTTTGGAAGTCAGTAATGCGTTCTTCACTACAGTATTCGGTTTAGGTAAGATGATTCGATTAAAAGATCCATTTCGCTTAGTTTTTATATTTATCCAAAATTTAACTCATACATTTTGTTTTGTATTACAGAGGCTATTGTAAAAATTATAGGTCTACGTTATCATTATTTTACGGTACCGTGGAACGTTTTCGATTTCCTCCTGGTGCTAGCGTCGATTCTGGGCATTTTGATGGAAGACATAATGATAGACCTGCCCATATCACCTACATTGCTCCGTGTGGTCAGAGTATTTCGAATAGGGAGAATTTTAAGACTGATTAAAGTAAGTATCATAAATCTTGTTTCATTAGCATTTCGGGCAAATTATTGATTTTGAGATCACACACAACATATTGATCCACAACAAACATGTTAGGTAGTCAAGTACTTATCAATAAATACTTGAATTTTATTGTTGCTTCTATCTGAATTTGTTATTTACAGGCCGCAAAAGGCATTAGGAAGCTGCTATTCGCGCTGGTAGTATCTCTACCGGCTCTGTTCAACATCGGAGCGCTACTGGCACTGATCACGTTCATATACGCTATCATCGGGATGTCAGTTTTTGGACACGTCAAGGAACAGGGCGCTTTGGATGATTTGGTCAATTTTCAGACCTTCGGAAGGAGTATGCAGCTGCTTTTTCGGTAAGAAACTTGACTTTCTTAACAACCAAAAATTAAAATGACCTGTTTTGTAAATGCTGTATTTTTTAAAGTTTTGTATTTATTATTACTGTTATAATGAGAACATTAACTTTTCAGTCTTATGACGTCAGCGGGCTGGAACGATGTGTTGGAATCATTGATGATCCAACCGCCAGAGTGTGAACTCGGTGATGTTGGCCACAGTAACGGCAACTGTGGCAGTCCCCTTCTCGCTATCACCTATTTCACCTCTTTTATCATCATCAGTTACATGATCGTCATCAACATGTATATCGCTATTATACTCGAAAACTTCAATCAAGCTCACCAGGAGGAAGAAATTGGTATTGTTGAGGATGATCTCGAAATGTTCTACATAAGGTGGTCAAAGTGAGTAACTCCATATAAACTTAATTTCTTTTGTATGAAATAATGACCCACCTGATGGTAAGTGTCAACCATAACCAATATATGCTATCGTTTGCGCATTACCTACCACTTGACATCCCCTTCCCCATGAATTTCTGAAAATCCTGCTCTCCGACAGAACCACAACACCACCGAAAGATAATCGTCGGTCTATATGGTAGAGATTTCTTTTCCAAACGGGCGCCCTAATCACTTTTTTATAAATATCAAGTAATTTTCTTTTTATTTTTAGGTACGATCCTCACGCAACACAATTTATAAGTTTTGCTCAACTATCAGATTTCATTGCATCCCTAGACCCCCCGCTGGGAATATCAAAACCCAATACAGTAGCTTTGGTTAGCTTTAATCTTCCAATAGCAAGAGGTAATAAAATTCACTGTTTGGACATTCTACATGCTTTGGTGAAACATGTGTTAGGACATGTGGAAGAAACTGATACATTCAGACAGCTGCAAGAGCAAATGGACATTAAATTTAAGAAACAATTCCCCACTAGAAAAGAGTTGGAAATAGTATCCTCAACTAGAATATGGAAGAGGGAAGATAAAGCAGCTAGAACAGTCCAACGTGCTTGGAGAGATTATGTGAAGTAAGTATCAATTGCTGCGAATTTCATTAAAATTACATAAGCTGGAGCACCTAATACTATTCTCTGTAAGAGTAGTTTGTCACGAAATCAAACTGTAGCTGCCTAACTACAAGGATATAAATTAACATAAAGATACTTGATTTTATGAGTTCGGGGTATAACAAAACTAAGATGATGAAACTAAAAATCATATGAAATCTTTTATCGAAATTACAGACGAAAAAACCGTAGTCCATCGAACGAGGAGGAGAGCACAAAATGGTCACCAGGTGGAGGTTGGGGAGGGCGCTTGAGTGCCTTGCTTCACGTCCGCAGGAGTTCTCATGCCTCGAGCCGCAAGTCTTCGAGGGCCTCCGACGCTTCTGACTTCAGCGAATTAGGGGGAGCGTGGCTTAACCTACCACTGCTCCTACTTCCAGGGGCAACACCGGGCGAACAGGTATCATCACCATACCTTCCATAATGAAACTATAATCTTCAAGTTTCATAGGTAGTCTTCCAAACTCTTCAAGATAGGTCTTAGTATTTCCAGTTGAAGGCTGTTTTTATTAAAAATTTTGCTCATGCCATTATTAGACAGTACTTCAGGTGCAAGCTGAACTTTTTTGGAATTGGAAGATATTGCTAATATTTGTCTTTTCTTATTTTTACATCTTTTTAATAATAAAGTAGTAGGAGCGTCTAGCGTATTTAGTACTTTTAGCAGAGTTATCAATTCTAGCTTTGACGCGATGTTTAGCAAATTCTTAAATCGCATCATCTGAAACGTAGCAAACGAAATCTGAGAAGGAGTTAGGTTTTAAGTGTGCTAGTTGATTGTTCTGCGACCTCTGCGGTTCTGAGGGATGGTACAAGGTATCATTCTGCTAGCAAAGAGGTCAGAGTGAAAAAATACATCCGTCTGGGCAGGCGGCGAGTGGTACGGAGTCAGCGCCGCCCCGACGACGCTCGGCGTACGGCCTGCCCTTATTCCTGAGACACCAAGACGCAGTGGACGAAGACGGCGGCCCAAAACGCGCAGGTTCATATGTAACGTTATGCTTTCCGTGTCTTCCTCTGTTAGATAAGCCAGCTACTAATAAAAATTTGAAATACCTCTAAGAGAATATCAGCGGTAAAATTTGGAAAAACTGTATCGGCAAATTAACAATCAGGATATAAATTTCAATGGGCGTTATGTACGTAGAAATATACCTATCAAAAGTTCAAAAACTGTCGAAAATTAGTACTTATCTTGGTCTATCATCCGGTAACCATTATTTCTAATCGGCGAAAGGGGTTCTGCTACAAGTTTTTTTTTATTAGTAACGGCGTAAATTATTGCGATAGTTCACAGCAAGCGGTTCTTTTTTCTTTTTCTTTTTACTTACCTACGCCCAAATGAAAAATTCAAGTTCTACCTAATACCCAAACAACCGCTTACTACGAACTAGATAAAAAAATAAGAAGCCCTGTTCAAGTTTCCTAAAGTGTTATTGAAAATGATTGTATATCTTTTAGATGACCTGAATATGTAACCTATGCTTAATGCAAATAAATTGGTATTGTGTAGAGCATTTCTGTTAATTGTTTGATTCAAAAAATGTTTGAATGCTTTGCATGATTGCTTGTTTTCATCTTTTTAATGTTTGACATATCTATCCCGAATTATAAAACTTAGGTACTACCTACTCTAATGTCTAACATTATTTTTAAGCAAAGCAGCACAGTTCAGACGATGTGCTTGCTTAATATTTTACGTTTTATTTGGTAAGTAAGTACCAAGTAGAAGGAATGTTACTTGTATGGCGTGTTTTCCGTCTATTTTTGTGTAGTTGTCTTTTACTTTATTTTGTTTAGCTATCATAAATTAGATTGAGATTTTTTTAAACTTCTATTTAAGATTTCGCAAGAAACGATGTTAATAATTTAAGAATACCTATGTGTATGTATAAAGATAAAAGTAGTTATAAAAAACAAATGCCAAAATTTTAAAAATATAGTTACATAAGTTATAATAAAGTAGGTATGTGTATTGTTAAAGAAGTTAGCGGTCTGTTAATTCAAAAGTTAAAATCACTATTGCTGATGAGTTTCTTCAAGAAGCCAGAAGAAAATACTTCTGGATCATGTCCGTCTATTACAGTGACATCAGAACCCATAGCAAAAAACTTATCCAATAACCAAAAGCTCCCTATTTATAATCAAGGAAAGACTAGAAAGTCTATAGTGCTTGCTGGTTGGCGTAATGTGTCACTAATTACTACCAGAGGCAGACCACGAACTTTTTTCTACTCTACATTTTCTTGCGAATACTTTTTATTTACATTCTTCGAAATAACAAGGCGTAATTTGGTATACAAAAGGTGATATTATATTTGTTAGAGAAGATTCGGTAAAAATACAAGAAAAACAATGGGATTGTTCTAATTCATATTCGGCAGTTTTTAATATTACTACATCTCCAGTAAAATTGTACGCATATCACATCTTAGTTACTTAACTACCATTACTAAGTACTTTGCAATAATCGTCCACCAAAATTGTCGCAAGCGAATAAGCTCTGGAAAGCGTGTTTCTCAGCCAGAATAAGTTCATGTGGTGGACGTAAGTGTTTTATTAAAAAAAAGATTTTACATTACAGGCCAATAATCAAGTTTTAAAGCACTTTTACATAAAACTTCAGATTTCACTTACGCATCCATTGTTGTCACCGCAGGTTCCCTTCGTCTAAGCTCACGGCGGAATTCAGCCAGGCGGGCAACCACCCCAGCGCGGGCTCGGACGCCCTCTCCCCACGCCAACAACAGCGAAGTCAGCATCCTCGTGACTGAAGCTTCGCCGGACGCGGCCCCGCCCCCCTCTGCACCCGCCACAGTTGTACGCGTACTCGTACACAGAGAGAGCGACGAACAACCCAGCTGATCTACCGCCGAGCCCGACGAGGCTCAGCCCCCCGATTGATCTAAGGACATTCTAGTGTCAAAACTCGTAGTTCACAACCCATAACCTCTTAAGCAGACGCGATTAGGTTATCTACTTTAATTAAAAATATCGAGTGACTTTTTACTTTTAACCAATCGAAAACTTACAACTTTTTGTTAGTATCGAGAGTAGGTAGTGAGATTTCACGAACGCCATTGTTGCCTGATAAATCACCTTGAAATGTGGTGAATTTTAAAAAAGTATTTAATCTATAACTAGTCGGTATGTTTAATAGTTATAATGTTGTAAGGCAATGTTTCGACAATGTGATCACTGCGGACTTGTAGTCATTTTATCGTGTCTGCGAAACAAGTGCGGTTATTATTAGCATAGATGGCGCTGCGCAAAGGCTAATGTAACGGCAATATTTATGAAGTGCGTTCAAGTAAAGTTGCTTTGAGTGCGTTCAAAGCAATTTTCACATAATAAGAAAACGCACGAAAGTGATACAATGGGTAGGAGAGGTCTATTGTAATTTTGTGATTTTAAATTTATTGTAGCTTATTAAATTTACAAAATAGAACCAGTTCGAAAGATATTCATGTAGAGATAATTAGATCTAATTTAGTACTTGCTGTCCCAGATCAAGAGCTGGGGCTTAATCAGATTTATCAATTTTGGATATTTCTGGTGACATTTGCACATAAATAGTACCTTAATATTAAACGACTACGTACATCAATGTGAAAATATTATTACCTTTAAAATAATGTTCCATACAGCATACAGTTTCAATTCCATAGAGATAGAAGGGAAAACGCTAACTACTGATACTTAGGTAGGGTTAAGTGGACAGTACAACAAGGGACACAGACCGCTTTCATTATGCGAACGGCTAGGGAGTGGAACTCCTTGCCGAGATCTGTTTTCCCGGAATAATATAATCTGGACATCTTCAAGGCCAGATTGAACAGGCATCTTCTAGGCAGGCGTGTACCATCCTAGGCCTCATCATCGCTTTCCATCAGGCGAGATGGTGGTCAAACGCCTTGCCTATTAAGCATTAAAAAACAGTGTAACAAAAGGAATATCTCTATATTGTACCCGGCTATTTGACGTCTGATGACAGCTGCTTAATATGGCAGCATTATGGCTAATATTAACTAATAACTATAATAATAAAAGCTGAAGAGTTCGTTTGTTAGTTCGGTAGAACAAGCTAATCTAAGGATCCAGGTCCGATTTGAATAATTATTTTTGTGTAGATAGTGCATAGGGACATCGAGGATGGCTTTATGGCTATTAAATATAACGCTTCCACCAATAGGAGCGGAGCACCAATGAAAAATGTTGCTAAAACGGGAAAAAATATTCCAATTGTGAACTTCCGTTGCGTGCGCTGCGTAAACGGTTATAGTTATACAAAAACCGTGTATGACGGAATTGTTCCCCTATATCACTATAACCGTTTTAGTCAAATTAATTCGAGTGAAACTTCTAGTAACTAATAAAACCACGTCAAGAAAGAGAATAGACAAATATTAAAGGGCAGAGATATCCATTCCTTATGTTACACTGTCCCCCAAATGACCCGATATTATAGATTGAGTTGAATCTGGTATTTTGAATATTCTATCTTATGTGAGGCGAATGATTGTTTATAAAAATAATATTTTACCCTAAACTAACTAAATTATTCACTAACAGTCAACTGATCTAGACAATAGGCAAACCGAACCAGTTTAAAGTGAAACAACGCTTACAAGTTACAAGAATAAATGGTCTCTACGATTTTATGCTACAACTAAATTTAATCTATTTTATCTCTGCATCAGTAGTGAATATATATGTAGTATCCTATACTAAAAAGGAACTTCCAGTGGCCGCAATAATATAGGTAAGTAACTGTACCTAAGTAAAACTCATCATCTGCCTATTAATGTCCCCACTGATGGGGTACAGGCCTTCCCTATGGTTGGAATAGGGAGATTAGGCCATGACCCACTACGCGGGCCCAGTGCGTATTGGCGGGTGCTAACGACTGCAGATGCAGCCGGTACCAACGGCTTAACGTGCCTTCCGAAGCACGGAGGAGCTCGAGATAGTAAATTTTTTGGTCACCCATCCAATGACCGAGCACTGCGAAAGTTGCTTAACTTCAACGATCGCAGCCGAACGCGCTAACCACTTGCGCCATCGAGCTCCTCAAGTAAAACTATTTCAACATTTCCTTTGAATTTTATGGGTCATGTAAATCCTTCTAAATCCCACCGGAGAGAATGCCTCAATATTCAAATTTTGAAAGCTTATTCAGTAACGTAACCAAAAACACGGTTACACACTACTTCAAATTGGTTTTTCTGATTATATTTTTGTTCGGTAAACAATTTTGAAACATTGTCTGCTTAACAAAAGTAGTTACTTTAAAATATGAAAGCCCGTGTTGATTTAAATTGCATCTAATCAAAAAGGTAGGTTTCCATTAACTGTAAGGTACCTTTTGATTAATATTGTTGCCTTAGGTACCTGAATAAGGCAAGTAGGAAAAAACTGGAAACCTACATAAAACATGACTGTAGAATAGCCCACCTAAAATTATTCCTGGGATCTGTTAAATCAATATAATTCAACATTGTCATAAAGCAATGTTTACGAACTTAAACTAACCTACATAATATACCTAGTTATTTATAAGTTCCTAGTTATGCTTAAAAATCGTGCTGTTTCGTTTTGTAAAGAAATTTTATGCCAAGTTGGATTCAAGTAGATATATTTATTATTATGCTAATTGCTTTGATTATAAACACGTCTAAATACCGTATTTACTGCATGAAAGCGCCCCAAAAAATATCTATTACATAATGGTAGATACGCTCGACGCTACACACGCACACATTGACTGCTTTCAAACAATCTGACACACACACACATTGCGAATATCATAAGCCGTTTTCTTTGCGAGATTAATTTGGATTGCTCTATTTAGGCGTGTATATAATCAAAGGATAATTGTGAGACCAGTCTCAGCGGTGGTTGTAAATGAATTTGTTATTGTATTGTAAATAAATATTAATTGTATATGTGAAGGACTGATTCGTCATCATTACGTCACATCCGCTGCTAGTGTAGGTACCCAAATGAAAAACGGACAGGAAATAATAGTTTAAGAATAAAAGAAGATTTTCGATGCTGATTAGTGAAAACAAATTAATAAGAATACCCAATTAAATGTAAACAGATGTAATTAAAAAAAACATAAGTAATTAAACTTAAAAAAAAAGCTTTCTAGGCTGTATCTGATTGTCTAAACCTACTTATCGTATAAGGAAATATAACTATTTAATGACTTTTAATTTAAAAAAGTAAATCTCGAACCACTAAAACTTATTGCCATCGCCGTTCCAATAGTTTAATGGGATATTTATTAATGTATATTCACATAAACAGCTTCACGCAAACTCAGAGTCCTGAACAAGGTGCGGCGTTTTTTCACGTCCGATCAACTGTGCTTGTTGTACAAAACGCAAGTGCGGTGCTTGGAATATTGCTCGCACCTCTGGGATGGCTCCACTAAGTACTTACTCGATGCCCTGAGTAGGTTGCTACGGCGCGTTACCCGCATCATTGGCGATGAAGACGTAACTAAGAAACTCGAGTCTACAATTACGCCACGATGTGGCATCATTAAGCGCATTCTACCGACTATACTACGGCGATTGTTCTCAGGAGTTATTTTCCTTATTCCGCCATCACCAGACCCTTTTTCCCAGTGGGCACTTTGGGCAAGTGCCCAGGGCCCCGCGATCGATAGGGGGCCCCCTCAGATCAAATACAAAGTCCCTAGTTTCTGATAAATCACCAAACGGGGCTCATAGGGGCCCCATTATCCTAATATGCCCAGGGCCTCCAATGGGTCAAGGGCTTTTAGTCTGGAAAAACGTAAAATATCTACACGTAGTAGTGAAGCGTAGCCGCGGCGAGAGCGTGCCCGACTAAATGAAATTACCTGACTTTCGTATTGCCAAATTAGAAGCGTGTACGATGATCTATAACTACAAAACATCATAGATTGTAATAATATTGGAGTTCTCACATATCCTCGTTGCAAGTCGCGAGGCAGGCGACAGGCCTTTCTTACACATTAAAAATAGGTATATCTACTTAAATGAAGTACCTACATAATGTTGATTTTTTTCGCGTAGCTACAATTTTACGTTGCACAAAATATTAACATTTTATTATTATAGCCGACTCCGGTCGGATGAGTAATAACCGATGCCAAAAAAAGCAAAATGGATCGTTAATCAACATTATAGCGTTGACTTTACGGCAGAATAATGGTTCCTTTATCACAGGAGCTAAAAAATATTTATGAGGGCGACATAACCACCTACTTCTGATAATGGTTTTACTATGTGAATCGCTATCCTGCATTCAGTTAAAACTTAAACGGTCTCTTGAGATCGGGCGGCCGTCGTCGTGTCTGTGCTCCGCCAGTTTAGAAGTGGCGCTGCCTTGCAACCAGCAGGTCAGGGGCTTATCTTACCCTAGGGCCTAGGGCCAAGAGGGCCATGGCCTAGTGCGGCAGGCTGTGAGAAGCTGCTGGAAGAACTACGAAGGGCGGCCATATAAAAGTATTCGTTACTGATCCATTTTGGATTTGATTTACTAATCCTAGAGGGGGGGAGCATGCAAATCGTAAATGACCCGGGGCTTGATCTTCTACACTGTAGGTATTACAAAACTTTATAAAAAAAATAGATTAATTATATCGCATCGATAAAGTCGTTCTCAGTCTAGTAAATCCATTCTTCCTTTTTTATCGAAAGTGCTTGAACGTCTCCTTCATAAACAAATCAATAATTTCCTTACTCGCCATAATCTCCTTAATCCACTCCAATCAGGTTTTCGTCCTGGCCATAGCACTGTCACTGCTTTAGTCAAGGTTACTGATGATATACGTCTTGGTATGGATAATGGTCGCCTAACAGTGCTTACTTTATTGGACTTTAGTAACGCTTTTAACACCGTCGACTTTGATGTTCTCCTATCCGCGTTACGCTCTCTTAACATATCTCCAACGGTAATTGACTTGTTTCGCAGTTATCTGTATGGGCGTAGGCAGCGTGTTCGCCTTGATGACCAATACTCGTCATGGTGCGACACGTCTGCTGGCGTTCCGCAAGGCGGCGTATTATCTCCACTTCTTTTTGCATTATTTATTAATACTATCTCTTTAAATTTATCTTCATCCTACCACCTTTATGCAGACGATTTACAGATATATTGCCAGGCTCCACTTGAAAAACTTGAAGAAGCAATATTAAAAACCAATCTTGATTTATGTCGAATTGCAGAATGGAGTAAAGCTTTTGGCCTTAATGTTAACCCTACTAAAACTCAAGTTATGGTTGTGGGTAGCTCCAGATTATTGTCACAAATTAACTGGATTGCTCTTCCTAAAGTAAAATTCGAAGGAACTGATATACCTTATAGTACAACGGCGAAAAATCTGGGAGTTATATTAGACAGCACATTGAGCTGGGAGCCACAGCTACAAGCTGTAAGTCGAAAGATGTATGCGTCTGCTGGTTCATTAAGAAGACTTCGTAACTTTTTACCTACTGCCACTAAAATTATGCTTTCTCAATCTCTGTTACGTCCAGTCCTTGACTATGCTGACGCCTGCTATCCTGACCTTACGGAGGACCAGCTAAATAAACTTGAGCGCCTTCAAAATTTCTGCATCAGGTTCATATTTGGTTTAAGAAAATATGATCACGTTTCCCAGTATCGCTCTCAACTCAAGTGGCTTCCAATTCGTCGTCGCCGGGATACTCATATACTTTCCCTTCTTTACAATGTTTTGTTTAATCCCTATTACCCCAATTATCTCAAAGAACTTTTCAGTTTTCTCCACAGTTCCCATGCCCAGACGTTACGCTCATCAGAGAATCTGAGCCTTAAAACTCCTGCACACAATACCTCCTTTTATAAATACTCTTTTTGTGTTGAAGCTGTGCGCCTCTGGAACTCCCTTCCTGTTGAGATTAGACGTGCACAGACTATAGGAAAGTTTAAAAGTGAGGTTAAGGAATTTTTCCTTTTACAATAATTGTTTGTGTTGTTGCCATGCATTCTCCCACTTCTTGCTTGCATCATAATATTATTTTAATTTTATTAAAAATGTGTATTTTATTTTATGTACCGATGTATGTTTTTGTTTGTTTACTTGTTTTTTTTTTATCAGTTTCTATTTTATATTATGAACAGTAATTTTTATCATGGTTATATTTTGTTTTCCTTTTTTTTTTCTATTTTAATTTTGTAATTGCACACCCCCTCTTTAATTGAATTTCGACTCTCCATCCTATGGTTGTCTGGAAGAAATGGCTACATAGCCATAAGACCGCCAATTGTCCGCCTTTTTAAATTATTGTCGTAATTTTGTATTTATAATGTGGTGTGTACAATAAAGAATTATCTATCTATCTAATTATCTAATGGTGTGACCAAGAGAATTAGTGATTAATTTTTATTTAATTACCTACCTATACATTTATATACCTTAGGACATTTACCAATTACAAAAAAATTGCTAAATGTTCTTATTTCAGTCTAAATACATAATACAGTTACATCTGTTTACATACCTACCTACTTCAATTCAGAAAGATTTGTGACGCGCATGAATTTATTGAAAGGTCAATTTTCGCTAGCTAGGTAGGCTAATTGTTTTATACAATTATTATGATTAGCGTTGTATAATCGCCTATGTTACATTTACATAGTTCTTACCTAGCATTTAAAAAAACGATTTTATTAAGTTTCAGTGCCTCTTAACAATATAGATGCATAATAGCTGTTTTATTCTTCTATTCGAAAATAAAATAATAGAAATAGAATCACTAGGAATATGCTTGGCAGCTATTCATTGTTATACATAGCCAGGGACGTACCATAGGGCCAAGTGGGCCAGCCCCGAGATATATGTATAGAAATTTTAAATTTTATGATTAAAATGTTAAAAAAATATAAAAGAAAGGCCACTGCAACGTTTTTATTTTACATAATGTTGTTTTTTAACAATAATTACGAATTAAAAATTACTTGATAAAAACGTATTCTAAAACACCAATCAGCGTTCAGTGACGTCACTCCTGTTATGACAACTTATTTGAGATTATGGTTATAAAAGTGAATATCATTTTATGGGAATATTAATTGCGTATTTTTAATAAAAATGGAAGTTGGGTTTATCAAAGCAGACTCCAGGAAATTTCCAAGAGTTAGTGTTGACATGGTTGTAAATTTTTGTCCAATGTGCAGAGTTTTCAAGTGTAGAAATGAAAGGGACTAAATTACTACGGTAGGTATAAATCATAGTTGTTAAACTTTGTATTTTATTTAGCGGCTTCTACACATAGCAGTTATTTCAGCTCAACAAGAGAATCTTACGGCGTAAACGCAATCGGCTATGTCCAAATTAAAAGAGAGGGAGAATTACGTACAGTAAAAAGTCGAGTTACTCCGGAGCATAAAGTACGTAAAGAAAGTTATCGTGTTAAAATTATTTTAAATGAAACGCAAAGCTTGGTTCAGCCAATGTAAAGATTGTGCCACACATTTTAAACTTTATCCAATTTTTGACGTCGTTCTCCAACTGTAAAATTAAAAATATGTTAGATAGACAGGTTTTGTAAGTATTAGGTAGGTTACTAACGCGTTTTTACGTACAAGCAGATTAATTAAGCATATAACAAATATATTCGCCGACTTACGTCAAAGTGATCTTCACAGCATCGAATAATGGTCTTTGGAGAATAATTGGCATTTCTCTTCGCAGCTTGAAACCACTTTTTTCTCAATTTTGCGTCAATTAAATTAATTCAATCAAAAGTCAAAAACAATTTATTTTAATACTTTGTTGAAGTAGATGGACACATTGGTACAAAACATGAGTCAACACGCCTTTTTTTTGGAATATTAGTGGTATTGTTATGATCACCTGATGTTGATGGATAGCCCATTTTAAATTTTTACAAAAAAATATCTCGAAAGTCGGAAAAATATGCAAAGGTATGAAAATTGAAAGCCAGCGACGAACAAGTACAACCAGTGACAGACAGGAGTGACGTCATCGGAACCATAGGTCCGTTTTCGCGCGAAAATTTAAACTGTCAATTTATAACCGCATTTTTTCCGATAAATTACAATGTTTTAATTTTTTAATATATCTGTGGTTTATTCTACATGGAATTCTTTAAAATGAAAACAAAAATAAAAATGTTGCATCTTCCCTATTGGCAAGAAGGAGCCGAAACCAAAAGGCATTCGCTGCTGGCTTATGTTTTGATTAGATTTACCATTTATGCGCTAGATTTCAAAATATGCCCTTTTAAATAGCATATCCTTAGCTTACCTACTTCAATTGTATGTTACAACGACATGATGCGGTTTGTTGGGGCTTGAATTAATAAAACTCGGAAGATTTTATTGTGCGTGTCCTTTAAAAAACTACGTGACGTCGTGGACGATATTCGATACCAAAGCAATCTATCATAATGCCATAATATTTACTTATGTTAAGGTTACATTTTGCTAATTGCTTCGCACAAAATAGGTCTTATTTTGGAACAATAGTATGTAGATAATGCAAGTACTCATAAGGAGACAATATGATTAAATTTCTGGCTGTTATAAAAATCATGTATTAGATTACAGCGGCTTATTGGCCACGAGTCCTTAAAACGTCTGTTAGATAATTTATTCAAACAGTTCAGCTCTTCAAAATCTTTTTGTTTTGTAATAGTTTTAAAATATAGCCCGTCCAGTTACTTTTTTTTGTTTTATAGTTATAAATTTATAGTAGCTGACGTATTTAGTAAACTTGATTTATGTATATGCACAAAGTGCTTTTAAAAAACTATTTTTAAAGTCAATTGTTGATACATAATAATTACTTACACGTAAAGCACAATTTTAGTTAAAAAGTAATTTGATGATTTCAAACTCCACCCATGCTTACTATCAGCTTTTAGAATTTAGCTTATTATTCATAATAATAAATCATTTTCCAATTCATTAATACCGTAGAGAGAGATTTATATAACTAAAGTTTTCTTATACTGTTCCTGTTTAGTAAGGACCAAGTTTCCTTTGTCTTCAGAGACCTACCATTTAGACTCAATGTTGAGTGGGTCTCTGAACACAAGTGTATCCAAAGACTCACTAGTGAGTCTCTCAATCAGTTTGAGAAGTAGGTACCCAATCTGAATTTAATCTTGACCAAAAAACCTTTTCGAATTTGTTTATATGTACTACCAATATTTAGAATTTTTCGAAGCCTGTTTCAAAATAAATTTTAGAAAATCAGATGCTACCACCTTGTTAGGAGGTTAAGATCTATTACTTTAAGGCTAATAAGCGTGTCAACTCGATCTTTGTAAAGTAAGAAAATCTAAAAGCTGAAGATGTCGAGTGCAAGCGATATTCGCCTTAATGTACTAGTAATACCACTCCGCTTTGTAATTATATCGAATGGTACGCTTTGCTTCCGAACCTTCATAACATTACATTAAACAGCCCACCAAAACGTTGAAGAAAAGATAAAAAACGCATTAAAATTCATTTGATTTAAAAGAGTAAGTACATTAATTCTTAGATATTTTTCATTACATTGTAAATAAGTGAAGGAAAAGAGAATGCAATAATTTTTAATAATTTTATCTATACATAGTGTAATTAAAAGTTTGTTAGAAGAATACTTTTAAATTTATATTTATTTAATTATGTACGTTGTACATGTAAAACTATGATAGTTAGTGAAAATGCAATACCTATTTAAAAACATGTGTTGAGCATGATTCTAATTAATTTGTGTAAAATATGTTATGACTTGTATAATATGTAAATAAAATCTTTAAGCGAGACCTGCGAAATATGATTTTCTTCCGAGGTACAAAATATAAATTAACCATGTTGAAAACTATGATTAAATGAAAATAATAGAAATATTGTTTTTCATTACCCTATATTTGTCACAATTGAATAATAACGATCGCTAAACAGACAATTTAAAATAAAAAAAGAGTAACAATCTCTTAATTTACTCATCAACTTTTGATATTTTATGTAAATCGCAAAAAAAAAGTTAAACAAATATACATGTTTTTAGTATTTCTGCATATGAATTGTTATTTATTATGCGATTGTTTTAAAATGTTTGATCAGAAGTTGTCAGAGTAGATATAGAGACAGTTATTGCCATTTCATAATCAAAACTCTGTTTTGAAATAATATAAATAGAAGTAGATGTTCAATGAAATAATTAAAAAAAATGATTTTTGAAATAAAAAAAAACAGGAAAAATGGTCTATTTTTCAATATTATTAAATATAAAGAATCAAATTCGGTACAGAATTTACTGATAAATTATTTTAATAAATATATGTTTACATAAATCTATCTATTTTGTGGAGACTCTAGTGCGACGGTTCCAGGAGAAGTTGAGACCATAGCTTTTTGGTCTAAATTCCTTTTCAGTTTTAGGCACATCTATGTACCAAATCCAACCATTTTTCTCACAGTGCTCAATAGCTTCATCGGGGGATGAGAATTGGATTTTCATATTAGAAAGTGGGTCGCCAGTGGATGTCCAGCCCATGAGTGGGTTTTCCCAACGCTGGCGGTTATCAAACTCCATTTCCCAGTGATGAATGTTGTTGGTGCCACTCTGCATAGCATTTTTTGGAGGCTGATAAATGCGAACACGGCGAGTCTTCACATGTTCTTCAGGCACTCCACTAATTGGTGTGAGATCAACCTGTAAATAATAATAAATTATTATGAATATCTAGTTATAATCACTTCACTTTTTCTAAATGATAACATATACTTAGTTCTTTATATATAGGTATTTCTCTGTAAGCTTGTACAGGTCCTATACAAATGCTGTCCTGACATTTTTTTAGAATATTTGCATAAAAATCGTATTTCGAAGGAAATTAGCAATTAGTTTAGTTAGATAAGGTAGTCCACTCAATTTATACGTATTTTCCGAGTTATTAGCAATTTTCTAAATAATCATGACAGGGGACTGTTTGAGGCATCTGAGGACTGTTTTCATCTTACAGAGGATTGCTATACTTAGAAAAAAGGCAGTTTACATTATTCAATCATTTATTATTTAAATGGCGTAATTGCGCATCAATAATCAAATAAGTCTCTTTCGAAAATATGAACCGAAAACATAACTTTTTAATCTTTAATATCTAAAATTAATCCAAAATGCTATAAAACCTTTGTACTAAGCTCAACATAGTCATAATATAAAAATAATAATCAGTAAATGCTTAATGCAGTATTTATTGAATTACTATAATTTACATATTTGTTAAACTTTTTTCTTCTTCAATCAAGTCCTAAGGATTTTTCTTGATCAAATAAGGTACATAATAAAATTCAATCACAATAAACTTAACAGCCAAATATACGTACTCAAAACTTCTATTTTAGTAGAAAACTTATGAAATATTCTCTTTCCGTCGTCATGATGATGACGACGGAAAGAGCAAATCAGCAGCCGTTAGACGTCCACAGCTGGAGTAAGGCCTTATCAAGGGATTTTCATATACTGCACTTTCAGCATCCAGTAGGTAGCCCCGACTCGCTTCATATCGTCAGTTCACCAGGTGAGGGGTCTACTGACATTGCACTTCACGGTGCGAGGTCATCATCAAAGTATCTTGGGACCCCAACGTCCATCGGTTAGCTAAACTATGAGCCCCGCCCATTGCCACTTCAGCTTAGCGATCTGCTGAGCTAACTCGGTTGTTCTATTTCTTCTACGGATTTCCTCATTCCTAATTCGATCACGCAGAGAAACACCGATCATAGTTATCTTCAGCGCTCGTTGTGCGCCTACGAGCCTTCTTATGAGGCCCATAGTCAACGGCCACGTCAGAGCTCTGTATGTCATCACGCAGCAATTTTACCGCGTGTCATTATAACATGAATTCCGAATGTCTTTTTTTGTATTGTCACGTATATTTTTCTTTAGTATCGTTGTAAGTGACTACGATACTAAAGAAGAACTAGTCACTCTACTTCTCTCCTCTTTCTTTAGTAATTCCTCTAGGGATAACCTTTTCTTTTTGGGAGTCACATCATATGTGTTCTATGTAAGCCTGTGCAATATAATGTATGGTTATAATAACTAATAAATGTATGGTTATAAACGAAAATTATGAGAAGCAATGATACTTTGATAATTTCTATAAAATAATGATTTTACATTAATAAAATAGACTAACTAATAGAATTACACAAATAATACATAAAAATAATAACCAATACCCAACACACAGTCCCCTGTTGAGCAAAACAGTCCTCTGCTGCATTATCAAGCAGAGGACTGGTATCAGGGGACTGTGTATTTCAGTTACACACATTGTTTACAGAACTAACATAAAATTGTTTTTTAAGAATTTATTGGTCATTTAGACATAAATACTAAAACAATAAATGATATATAGTGTAAGGTAAAAAAATTATTAAAAAAACTGTGTTACTATTTATCTAGTTAGTTATTTCAAAAAAGAAAGAAAAAGGCTGGAGGTGGTGGCCGGTTAATGGTAGCCGATTTTAGCTTCTCAGCTTCCATTTAAAGTGAGAGTTGTAACGGGCGCCGGGAAGCTGGTGACATCTCCAGGTGTCCGGAATAACTTACGGGAACATCAGCTTTTAATCTCAAAGGCAGTTTTGACTAGGGTTGAATGATAAAGGTGTTTTCCTCTTCAATTATTTATTGTGAAAGTGTACATACCAGATTGGATTCCAGGCGTCAAAGTACATTAAGTATTGGATTTACTTAGACTATTATGGCTGGTCCATGGTCAAAGATATCAAAATGATATTTATAAAGATATCATTAAAATTAAAGATGAAGCTAAAGAAATTAAGGATTATAAAGACCACTTAAAGAGCTGAAACAAAAGAGACATTTGTGAGACCAGGCAACATGGCTAGATATATGTATGACAATTTTAATCTTAATTCTTACCTGCAATCGCAGCTCTTTTAAAGTTTTACTAATGGGCCATTGGCACCAATATTAGTTTGCAAAAATGCGATGAGCGCCTTTTTGGAAAAAGAAACCGAACTATAAATTATTATTATATTTCACATTTTTAAAAAGTGACTGGTCGTGTCTGCAAAGAATCGAAAAGTAATGTTGCCAGGTCGCACTTCCAAAAACGCCGCGAGTCTCAGTGTTGGCGCATTAAAATTTAAATTTGGGCATGGACTAACCATAAATTACAAAAGTTTACTTAAATTTAGAATGACAATTATTACGTATTTATTTTAATGTTTTATAAAATTAAGACAATCTTTAAAGATGTGTTTCGTTTAAATAAAACTAGTTTAAACGGGATAATGCACGAAACTTTATTTATTTATTGACGTTTCGTAGCCTTTCCAGGCTTCGTCGTCAGAATAAAACTTTTGTTTAATTTGTCGAGCTACCTTCGAAAGACTTTTATTGAGCGTTTGGTTATATCATCGTTCGATTTTCAAGTTTTATTGTCTATGTATGAATTTATTATTTAATTTACTTAATAAAGTATTTTATTTAAAATTCTTGTTTGTAATTTTGCGTTTATTTATTTGACCCTAACTATATTTCAATAGGGAGGATGGTTGGTATATGCCACCAGCTTGGGAACCTATTATACAGGAGATAAAATCCCAACCCCGAGCACATACTGCAAGACCATCAGATACTATTAGTTCTTTTTGTTTGCATAATTTAACATAAGAAGGAGATAGAAAGCCTCTCTTGAGTTTGTTTCGCCGGTTCTTCTCAGGAAGGTCTCCCAATTTTGGAACCGGTGGTAGTTTACGGTAGTTAGGGTCAAATAAATAAACGCAAAATTACAAACAAGAATTTTAAATAAAATACTTTATTAAGTAAATTAAATAATAAATTCATACATAGACAATAAAACTTGAAAATCGAACGATGATATAACCAAACGCTCAATAAAAGTCTTTCGAAGGTAGCTCGACAAATTAAACAAAAGTTTTATTCTGACGACGAAGCCTGGAAAGGCTACGAAACGTCAATAAATAAATAAAGTTTCGTGCATTATCCCGTTTAAACTAGTTTTATTTAATGAGTGATGTGCGTGAAAACCTAAGAAACAAATGTGTTTCGTTTATTAAAAAAATAGGGAAAATCCTTAAGTGACGGATGTCAAACCATATATTATTTATCTATGTATGTGACGGCGTAGATACGACGTTACAATTCCCCCCCACTAGATTTTATAAAAATAACGAATGTTATTTTTATAACATCCAACTACACCTAACAGTAAAGAAAGAGGAAAGAAAAAAAAATGATTACTTTATAATAATCTAATAAAATTTCCATTGACTGGCATGCAACTGGTTAAATATGGTCGGCACACTCGCCCCATATAAAACAGCAAGTCAATTTAAATATGAAAACAAAAGTTATATTAAAATTAATTTATTGCAGAAAATATTCCAATATAAGGATTTCTTGTTATGCATTGAAACGCTTCTGGTTTAGAGTAGTCAGCACCATCGCCTTACACTAAACATTCGAATACAAACAATATTCCTAATAAAATAGACTTTATGAAAGTTTCAAATTCTTAACACATAAATGTGTGGAATAGGAAAGAGAAAAAAAAACGTTCTACCGATTCAACCGATTTAGAGTAGTCGGCACCCTCGCCTTACACTAAATTATCGAGCAGAAACAAAAATTACCAAACACAATAATAATCGAGTTGGAAAAATAAGTATTGTGTTACCGAATACTACTGATTCTCAGTGTTGGCGCATTAAAATTTAAATTTGGGCATGGACTAACCATAAATTACAAAAGTTTACTTAAATTTAGAATGACAATTATTACGTATTTATTTTAATGTTTTATAAAATTAAGACAATCTTTAAAGATGTGTTTCGTTTATTAAAAAAATAGGGAAAATCCTTAAGTGACGGATGTCAAACCATATATTATTTATCTATGTATGTGACGGCGTAGATACGACGTTACAATTCCCCCCCACTAGATTTTATAAAAATAACGAATGTTATTTTTATAACATCCAACTACACCTAACAGTAAAGAAAGAGGAAAGAAAAAAAAATGATTACTTTATAATAATCTAATAAAATTTCCATTGACTGGCATGCAACTGGTTAAATATGGTCGGCACACTCGCCCCATATAAAACAGCAAGTCAATTTAAATATGAAAACAAAAGTTATATTAAAATTAATTTATTGCAGAAAATATTCCAATATAAGGATTTCTTGTTATGCATTGAAACGCTTCTGGTTTAGAGTAGTCAGCACCATCGCCTTACACTAAACATTCGAATACAAACAATATTCCTAATAAAATAGACTTTATGAAAGTTTCAAATTCTTAACACATAAATGTGTGGAATAGGAAAGAGAAAAAAAAAATGTTCTACCGATTCAACCGATTTAGAGTAGTCGGCACCCTCGCCTTACACTAAATTATCGAGCAGAAACAAAAATTACCAAACACAATAATAATCGAGTTGGAAAAATAAGTATTGTGTTACCGAATACTACTGATTCAATGCAGTCGGCTCCTTCGCCCTACATAGAATGATCAAGTAACTACAAAATTAAATGCAATCTAATACATAATGAATGCATTTCAAAATACAAAAGAAACGCACTACAAAAAAATGAATGCATCACAAAATTAATGCACTATCGAATACCACTGATTCAATGTAGTCGGCTCCTTCG